ATATATATATATGTATTTTAGCATAAGTTACGAAGAATTAGCTATCGCTATATACACTGTGATGCAGGGAGATTGTTTGGATCCATGTTTCTTGTATCTGTCCCTATCAAATAGACAATAAATAAAACTGCGCTGTAAATTTGTGTATATATGTTTATTAAACTAACATTTTTCAAATGGTAGTTTTATTACATTTGGGTAAATGTGCAGCACTGGGTGGCCCTCTGGTAGTGTCAACAAATTGTAGCCCCTTCCATCATTTAAGTTGTTGTTGTTAATAACAAAAAACAACAACAACAATAATAACAATAACAACAATAATAACAATAACAACAACAACTTTATTTATATAGCACCTTCCAATAATGCCTTGTCGTGACCAAAGTGCTTCACAAGGTAAAACAAAAATAAACAGGTCATAACAAATCAGTACAAGTTAAAAACACAATTACAATAAAAAGTAAAAAAAATTATAAAATGCTAAAAATTAAACATCAAATGCCCTTTTGAATAAGTAGGTTGAATAAGTTGTCCATCCCTGCTTTAAATCCTGATGCAGATTAATAAAAGTCTTCCTGTGCCCATATAATTTGATGTGAGGTGAGTTAAAAGCAGTGGCGGGGGGTAACTTACAGGGAAGCTTGCAGGGTGGAGGGGAGAGGCCGCTGCGGTTCAGAGTTCCTCCCATCAGAACGATGCTCATCTCCTCTGTGGAGCACTGGAAGACCTCGACGTAGCGATCCTTCATCATCTGTTTATGGCACTTTTGGGCCACCAGGAAGGCCTTGTCGGGCGACTTCATCTGGATAAAGGCGTCCCCTGAGGGCCGACCCTGCGAGTCGTACAGGAGGGACATAAAAAAGCATCACATGAACAATTGGTTCTCTTATTGTGAAGAACGTAACATTTATGATAAATATCAGTAGCGGGGGATAAAAATGTCTGCAGTAATGACTTCTGATGAAGAGATACGCGAGATGAGTTTGTGTTTACTGCACTCATGAGCCCAACTCGTCTGACCTGTTGGTTGAGGACCATGTGCACGCCGTGAGGTTTGATGTCGACCGTGTGCTCGCCCATGAAGTCCAGGATGTCTTCGATGCCGGCGGTGTACGGCAGACCACGCAGGCGCACGCAGTCTCGGACGTTGCTGGCCGTCGGCAGGAAGGGAGGTGTGGAGAGAACGGGCAGGGGTACCATGGGTGAAGGAGGCAGTGTGGAGATCAGAGGTGTGGACATGTAACGATTCAGGACCTGGCAAACACACATTCACGTAACACTCGTGAGAAAAAGGACTGTGTACAGGACACAGTGGAAAACACAACAGAGCAGTTGCTCATGATGACTGTTTTGGGTTGTTTTGACTTCTCGTTGTCATGATATCAGATGTTGGGAAACTGGGGAAGCAGCTACTTTCAGTTGGTTTTGCTTCAAATATGACCTCAGTCATCAGGCTAAAATAGAAAACGATTCTTGAAAGTTGAATTCTTATTTCCTATTTTTCTACGGTTCTGAAACCGCTTTCTGGAATTACGCAATCAACCATTTTATATAAACCTAAAAGCACTTCTGGCATTTAAAAAAAGACCACTCAACCGACCCACCTGTTGCACCTCAGCTGCGGTGCTCCGAAACAGCTCGATGTATCGCTTCCCCAGGATCTGCTTGTGTTTCTTCAGGGAGTTCTGAGCATATTCCTCGCAGGAGAAGAGCACGAAGGCGTCACCAGTGGGCCGTCCGTCGGGGTACTTCACAAAGAGCAGACCCTCGACGCCGTCTGTAACCGGGCTCTCTGGACCGAGGAAGGTCAGCACTTCCTGGGGTGTGGCGGTGAATGGCAGCCCCCGCATCCGTATGATCACCTGGTTCTCTTTAGACAGGAACTGAGCCACCTCGTTAGACGTTCCTGAAGTCGCAGAGAAGTGTGCGTGTCAGACGGAAATAAAATGTGTACTTTTTTTCCCAAAGATATCCATTTCTCGTCAAAGATGGGTAATAATCTAACCTCGTCTTTGTATGTCTCAAACACTAAAATGGCTTTAACTTCATCAGTTTTCTAGATACTGAGCTAAAACTCAGAGTGGTCGAAGCTAAGACTCACTCCCAACACAAACTCTGAGCACCAACACATCACTCAGGAACTTTGAAACTTTGGCAAAGCAGCAGGTGTTAAGAAACGCTAGTTTTTGTGTGTGCATTTCACAAATTATTTTATTAACTCAGTTTCACTCTTACAGAAAGTGTGTAATCAGTCTGTCCACTATGGTAACTTAGTTTAAACAGAAATGATGTAACTTGTTTTATTTTTCTGAAGAAAATGTTATGTAGGACTGATTGAGAAAAAAAACAGAATACTATTTTGTTTATTTATTACAACAACACCACCTAAATTCCCTCTGGGATCAATAAAGTATTTTTGAATTGTATTTTAAACAAAAGCTAAATAAATGAAGCCTTTAATATTAATGTCTTACTTTAAAATATAAACTTCAGTTTGCTTCTTCTCTTGCCTTATTGCAAATAATTTACCCAAACATTCATTAATAACAATATATATATACAGTGGTTTGCAAAAGTATTCATAC